AAAAATGAATGTGCTGATGTGGAAGGAGGAAGAAGATACAAGGAAGTTGTACATGCCTGGGAATACTTCTACCATCCAAGGCATTCCTCGCTGAAGAAGCAGTTTCAACATAAGTGAATTGGATTAATGTCTGCCAACAATTGTAATAAATATGAACATTATATTGAAAAAAATGAAATCACCACAGATCCAAAAATCTAAATGCACTTTTGCATCTCACTTGGAATCCCGCAGCCTTTTCAAATGTAGCAATTTTGTGAACAAAACCAAATGTAGAAAATACATGGAACAAAATTAAATCAGAAACAGGTACATATCACAAATACAAATAAGAAAAGAACATTAGAAACCGTCACAAATATGGGTATAATGTAAAAGTCTTTGTTAACAAATCCAAATGGACAAAAAATAAGTGCAGAATGACACCTGTGCATACATGGCTCAAGATAGACCTTAGAAAGGAGTATGACGTACATGATAATATTTCTAAACTGTCTCCAACAAAGGAATATAAATAAGGGGCATAACCATATGTGATTCAACTGATTTCGATAAAAAACTGCCATCTCCAACAAAGGTAACAGTTTAACTCATTTCAAATCTATAAGAAACGGTCTTGTGCTCTCATATTAAAAAGCATATTCCTTAAAATACAGGATTTAAGAAAATTAAGCATCTCTCATCAGTTGTAGAAGGAATAACACACGAAAATATAAGTGATACTTCATACATGGCAGTTCACAAGATTTTGACAAACTAAATTAGGCCACTTCTAGAGTCTAGACATGAAAATTCAAGATGTCTCCATTTAGTCATACAAATATGCTCATTCCTTAATCTAGAGCACCTGAAGCAAAAAGAGGCTTTAAAAATTCTAGACAGCCAATTCTTATGGCAGAAATAGAATAGAGAATCTGTAACAATTGAAGGCATTTAGTTGAGAAATGCATGACAGTAATAAGCACTTACCAAGTGAATCGTCTCAATGGTCACATCATTAGCTTCCACACCTTCAATGGTAACTAGCAAAACATTTCCAGGGGTATCTCCGGGACTCTTGTTGTCGACAATTTCATGTCTGTTTGAATATTGAATATATACATTTTTTCAACAAACCTGTGCTGGCTCTGTTGATGAAGCATAATATGAAACCATCGAAATAGCCTGATTTAAGTCTACCTGAAAATAAAAGTAACATAATTAACATAAAAACTAACTGATCAACCTGCAAATATTCTCTAAATTTCACTACATGAAATTAACCCATCGATATTCAACCTAGAAGAAGAATAATAGAACCCAAATGATAAGTTAACCCCAGACAAATCAAAATAAACCATCATCCAAGAAAATTCAAAATCCAACCCGATTGGCGGTGAAGTAACACATCAATGTTTACACATTCTTTTCTTGAAGATTCTAATATGATTACAAGGCTGTATATGCGTCTGATTTCAAATAAGAATAAACTCACACACAACTGCTGACAAAACTGCTCTAACTCGGGTCACATAATAACATTTCTTTTACACTTTCAAATGTGAAAAGAATCAGTTCTCCCATCCCAATTCACCACCAAATTAAAAAATAATAATAACACTTTGCAATTATGCAATTAACCATCAAATTTACACATCAAAACATTAAAAATCAGCTAAAAAATAAACGTATGCAAAGAAAACAAATCTCACAAAAAGAACTCATACTTCGACAAATTGAAGGAACACACTGAAATTTACACTAGAAAATCAAATTCCCAAAAGAGTAGACAATCAACAATTGATTGCCCTTACATAACACAAATTGAACATTATTTTTCGCTGAGACAAAGCAATCCATAAACTATAAACAAAGAACTTCAAAAAAATGGAAGGATTTAGAAGCTTACAAATTCAACAAAAGCTTGGTTCCGATTGGCGCCGACATTGCACTTAGTGTTAACGATCTTCCCAAAGGGTTTACAGAGCTCGACGAGTTCCTCTTCCGAACACTCCCATGGGTATAACGGAATTTCGACCAAAAACCAAAACTCGATCACGAAGCCCGAAGACTTTGTCCATTTGCTTTGAAGAGGAAATTCGAAGAGGAACCCTATGGAAGTGAGCGTTGAGAAAATCAATGGAGAGATGAGAAAAGACTTTGCCAATTTGTTTTGAAGCCTCACACCAAGAAGCACAGAAGTGAATGATAAGCGGTGCACCACTCTGGGTTCTTTTTTTGTGTTCTTTCATAACCAAGAAATATGTAAAAACTGAAATATGAACGTCAAAAACAAATATCTAAGCTAAATCGAAGAAGAAGAAGAAGATTTCAGCGGAATGAAGGGGAGGGGATAAGGCTATTTTAGACAACGGGGACGGGAATGAGTAAATACCTAAGGGAGAGGAGGGATAGACATTCCCGGGAATGCAGTAAAAAATTTCCTGTTGGTATTAATTTTTCCCGGCACTTGGTAATACAACCTATCCAAATTTGGGTATATTCATCCAGGAAAACAATATTCCTCTCAGGAAATAAATATACCCTGAACCAAACGGGGCCTTAATAATTAAGTGATACAACTCTTCATTTATAATTTGACTGAGAGATGAAATGAATTTCCAAAGCTACCCTCAAAGCCTTATTTATATGTCGCTTTCCACCATAGAGAGCGAACCCATTTCGATTGCGTTCGGGCAACGGTCAATGTTCGGTCCTTCTTTCACTTAGGGTTGTTTATTCGGTTAATTCGGTGATTAAACCGATCGAACTATCATTAATCGAATTAACCGATTTTTTTTTTCTTTAACCGTTAATTGAACCAAACTTTTTTTAAAAAATATTAACCGAACCGAATAAATTTCGGTTAATTTGGTTAATTAAATTAACACAAATTTTTTAAAATTTTCTAATTTATATAAAAATTAAATATTTTATAATTCAAAAAAAACAGTTTATAATTAATTTAAATAATATATAATTATAAAATAAAAATTTTATATAAAGTTTTTAATTAATTAATATTAATTTAGGTTTAAAAGTTATTGGATCTTAAATTATTAATTGAGTTTTAAATGGTTTGGACTGAGCCCATATGTTATATATATAATATATTTAATATTTTTTAATTCAGAAAAATAATTTACAATTAATGTAAATAATATATAATTATAAAATAAAAATTTTATATAATTTTTTTAATTTTTTAATATTGATTTGGGTTTAAAAGTTATTGGATCTTAAATTATTAATTGAGTATTAAATGGTTTGGGTTTAACCCACATGTTATATATAATATATTTAATATTTAAAATTTTATTTCGGTTAATTAACCGATTTCGAACCGAATTATTTAACCGAATATCCAAAAATACCTTAACCGTTCATCGACCGAACTAATTCGATGATCAACCAAATTAATTCGGTTCGATCGGTTAAAACCGAATTTTGAACACCCTACTTTCGCTGCACGCTTAGACTACTTTAATTTTTTATCACAAAATCAAATCATTTCTTTCTTTAGTTTAAAATAGCAAAAATTATCATATTATTTTTTTTTACTTTTATTTTATTTTATTACATTAAAATTTTATATTATTTTTTATTTAAAATTTTAATTCTCTTTTAATTTTTATTTAACTTTCTTAATTTAAAATTGATTTTTTTTGAAAGAGAGAGATTTGATCATTCTAAATAAAAAGAAAATAATATTTCAGTTCTTTCGATTTATAACTTTTAATCATTTAAATTTTAAAGTTTTGAAATAAGAATTTATTAATTAAATAATATAGTTTTTAATAATCTATTATAGTTCATTAATAGCTAAATTGATAAAAAAATTGATAAAATAATTGATAAAAATGTATAAAAGAAAAAATTATAGCAGTTAAATCAACAATTAAAAATAAAAGTGAATAGAAATTAATAAAATAATTAATTAGCAACTTAATATTATACAATTAAAAGTTATAGCAGTTAAATTAACAATTAAAAATAAAAGTAAATATAAATTAACAAAATACATGAATTTTTGTCCATGAATCTTCGGTGTCGTGTATAGCCATGAATCTTCAAGACGGTTTAAAGTTTGCTAAGAATCCGAATAATTGGCCGTTGCTCTTCTCGGTAGTTATTTAGAATATATGGCGAGCTCGGAATGCAAAAGTTTTTGAAGTTCCTTTGGATGGGGACGGAACGATAATTGAACTGAGTAGTAGGCTTATTCAATTGACTCTTCAAGCTCAAGTCGGGGTGTCTCCTTCTGCGAAAATAATGCTGTTATACGTCGTGGTCCGGATAGTTAGACGGTTCCTCCGGCTCTGTGGATCAAAATCAACGCAGATGTTTGTAGGGGACGTATAATTATGTTCGGTGTTGGGGAGTTGTTCGAGACAGTTTAGAAAATTGGATTTTCGGGTTCTCAAAATTTATTGGAGTCTGCTCGGTGTTGGATGCGGAGCTTTGGGGTGTCTATGTCAGTCTGAATCTCGCTTGGGATGCAGGTTTCAGGCAAATTATTATTGTACTTGATAGTATGGAAGCCTTAAATATTTTTCGATCGAATTATAAATGTACCAACTCACTTGGATGATATCTTAATGAATTAAGAAGAAATTTAAGGGTTCGTTTTAACCATGTGCTTCATAATAATAATAAAATTACTGATGCCTTGGTCGGGGGCACTTCTTTTGATAATCTGAATCATATTATTTTTGTTTCTTCTCGACGTAGATCATGAATTTATTACGTGAAGGCTTGATGGTGTCTAGTTAAGTTGTTAGTTTATTTTTTTCCTTGCTTTTCATGTTTATTCGATGTATTAGATTAACATATGTATTATTTTATTCCACTTAAGAGAAATTTTTAACAAGACATGTTAATCTTTCTCTCGTATAGTTTCCTCATTAATAAAATCATACTTTAAAAAAAAATGTAAAGATGTGTGACAAATTTTAATTCCTTTTCTCTTTCTCTCTAGCAAACGATAAAATTAAATCAATTTTTTTCTTATTTCTGTCTAAAAATCACTCATCACTTGCAAAGACAAAGTTCAGAGAAACGCAAAAAGGAAAGTTCATTATTTTTTCTTGAACTTGCTAAAAGAAAGGGTTTAAAAACTAAGTTATCTTTGACTTGTTTCCCCCCTTTTTTGTATTTATGTTTTTTGTTGGTGCTTTTGAATGGAGGGGAGTGGGATCAAAGGAAAAGATTTGATTGAGGATATTTTTGGGGGTTATCGGTGGGATTTGAGAGCTAGGGTTTTTGGTTTTCGGCTCTTTGTTGTAATGTTGTGTTGTTGGGGTTCATGTATTGTTTGGATCTAAGAATATTTAGATTGAGAGGTTAAATTCTTAAAAACAAAAGGTTGCAGCTTTTCCACTTTTGTTTTGTCAAATGGAAGGAAGCAAAAAGGTTAAGGCTTTGGTTTTGGTTTGGTTGATCTCGGTGCTGCTTCATCCATTCTGGCTTGTTCATGCTAATGTGGAAGGTAAACTTATCATTCTTTTTTCTATTTTCTCGCAGCATCCCATTTTTGTTATTTCCCTTCAATTACTTTTGAGTTTGATCCTTGATTCTTGCAACATGTTTTTGTGTTTGCAGAATGGGTTTTTGATAGTTCGTTATATAAATTTGGGTTTAAGTTTGAAAATGAGTTTACTTTGATTAGTATGTATACCTGTTTTCCTGATGATTGGAAAATTTTTCACTTTTTTCTTGTCATTTGCTTTTAGGAGATTACTTGAGAAGTGCTTACTTTGATTGTATTGATTCTGATCCTTGTTATCGATCAAATGTTAATATTATGCAATTTGGTTTCTGGAAGTGTGTAAGAATGATAATGCCGATGTCTTGTACTCTTTTGAACTGTTTAAGCTTCTTCAAGTGACTATGCTTTCTGTTTGTTTCTAGACCTGCTAATGCTTGGTGAGTGTTGATGAATCTGCTTTTACGTAGAGCTCGGTAGCTGGCTCGGCTGTGCTATATATGTTAACATATGCATTGTTAGTTAGTGTCATCCTCTTACCATCTTTACTTCTTCTAACAGGTGACGCATTGCACAGCCTAAGGACCAACTTGAATGATCCTAACAATGTACTGCAGAGCTGGGATCCTACTCTTGTTAACCCCTGCACATGGTTTCATGTTACATGTAACAACGATAACAGTGTTATTAGAGTGTAAGGTCTTTTTCCCTTTGTTGTCTCCTGAGTACACGGTTACAGCTTAAAAATTGTGTTTTACTGATTTTGCGAGGTTTAACTTGTTTAATGTCTACTTCTACATCGAAATTTCAGTGATCTTGGAAATGCTGCTTTATCTGGTATGCTTGTTCCACAGCTTGGTTTGCTTAAGAATTTGCAGTACTTGTAAGTCAGGCATGCCATGATAATTCTAGCTGTTTTCTATTTATATGGTTGGTTTGGCTTTGATGTGCTTGCTTCCGAGTAAGATATGTAATTGCTTTCTCTTTGTCCGTAATAGGAAGAAATATTTCCTGGCAATTATTGTTTGCATTAAATCATTAGTCACTTGACCAGTAGAAGTTGTTGAGAGTCCCATCTGCTTCATTTAGTTTATCAAACTCTTCACATAGTCAATTTCTAATTCAGAGAAGAGGCTCACCTATAATTCTTCTCTTTATGGTTCAGTGACAGTCTTCCTTAGGGGTGAGCAAAACTTGATTCAACGGAAAAAAGTATTTTTTTTTTCAAATTTAGAGTTAATCAAACTGAGTTATTTGGTTTTTCGAATCAACTTGATCAGGTAATTAGATTTTTTGAGTTCGAGTTTAGTTGAAATTTTACAACTAGAATATCCCAGAAACTGAATAACAAATTGGTGTAATTACCCCTTGGGTCCCTGTCAATTTAAAAAATGAGCAAATTGTCCCCTTTCAACAAAGAATTCAAAATAATTTTCAATTTTTCAAAAAAAAAGAAAGAAAAGAAAAACAAATAAGGTTTTCCATGAATTTATAAAAAAATATATATAAATTATAATTTTTCCATCTGTGAATAATATCTTTTGACTAGGATCACAAAGCTCTTAACATATATTTACTAAGTGCTAGTAAGTTCGCTTATCAACATGAGGATTCCATCATACAAGATCCTAGAGGTGAAGCCACACATTTATTCTTTCTTAACCAGTTATTGAGCTGGTATGTCTGGTGGGCTTTGTGGGAGTTTGGATAGTACTATGTGATATACTGCATTGCTACGTTTGATTTGGTTGTTTGTTTTCCTTGAACATGACAAGAGGCCATTTTTCTCGCTATTATATGATGCCCTTCAGAATATTTCTTTTATACATCAAGACAATATGATAATCCAGACCTTAATTTTCAGTTGTTGGTGCACAGTTTGTTTGCCTTATTATTTCATTGCCGTTCTTCCTTTTGAAACATTTTTTTTATGCCAGGGAACTTTACAGTAATAACATAAGTGGACCAATTCCTAGTGATCTTGGGAATTTGACCAGCTTGGTAAGCTTGGATCTTTATTTGAATAGTTTCAGTGGTCCTATTCCAGAATACTTGGGCAGGCTGTCAAAATTGCGATTCCTGTGAGTATATTTGTTTTACAGCTATTCCTTTCCTCTCTTTATTTTTGTTTATCATATGTTGAGTTGCATGTAATACTGAGAGCTAAGTCTTACTTTTTTTTATAGGAATAGGAGGTCTCATTAAAAACCTCCCTCTTAGTGGACCTTACCCCTAAGGTAAGGCCCAACTAGCGAAAGGAGGAAAAGAGTACCTCAATTTATTAATGATAGCCAAGTTACATAAGACTTAAAAACACTTTTACATACAATATAAGACCTCACACACTCCTCTAGCTTCTTAACTCAGAAACAAACACCAACTAAAACAGACAAAATCGTCACCCGATCCCCTCTTTTGCTAGCTTGTCAGCTTCGCAATTACAAGACCTTGGAATCCACCTAACAATAAAATTTCTAAAAGAAACAATAGATACAATTTCATTAACAAAAATTGAAAGGAAAACAGGAACCAAAGCTTGGTCTTTGATCCAATCCACTACAAGCTTGCAATCACTTTCAATAATGAGTCTGCCCTTCAACAGCCATTCTGAAGAAACAAAGATATCAATACCACTTTTTATAGTTTTCAGTTCTGCTAAATAGGGATGAGAAGGACCAACATTTTCTAAAAAAGAGATCAGTGTAACCCGATTCCAATCCCTGAGAAGACCCCCTATTCCAGCAACTCTCCCAACTCTACTAAAAGCCCCATCCACATTCAACTTAAAAAAATCTACTGGAGGAGGAATCCACCAGCACACAGGTCTGATTAGTTCCTTAGAAACAGAGATATTATCTGCCAAGGAAGGATCACCAATTAGAGAATCCACCTTAATAGAGGAAAGAGGATATTTTGCTAGAAACCATCTTGCTAGCCTTAACCGAACAGTGAAAACTAGTGAAAGTCTATCCAAATTGCCATTATCAAAGATAATTTCATTTCTAATTCTCCAAATTGACCATAACACTACACCTGGAATAAACTTCCAGATAACCGAAGTATACTTGATTTGAGGTGAACAAAGAAACAGAAGCAATTTATATATTTACTAGTATTTGTTTAATTAAGATATAATCAAGGGTAAGATATTACACCCCTCCCACCACCACACACGCATATGCATGCACACACTCAACAGCATGCTTAGTATTCAGGAATAATATTTTAATTAGTCTATGACATCAGCATGTGCAAGTTCGTAGCATTGGGTTTCTTCATTAACTACAACTGTCTGGTCAATTTTTTGTTGCAAGTTGTTTGGTTAAATTTCCGTCTACTAAAAACATCCGGGAGTAATTGAAACTGACATTTAAAAGCTAAAATAGGATTTTCCATGGTTGATTCCCCCTAGTAAACTTGAGTATGCAGGTTCAGCATTGGTGGTAAGTGTCATACATTCACTCACATTGCCAGGGAAGATACTGGTTGAGCAACTGAAGCTTAAAACAAATAGCTTTCTCTACTTATGATTTTGAATGGCTGTTATAGGTTAAAGTTTGCTTGATATAAAATCTCGTGATTTGTTTAGATCTTAACTTCTATTGTTGAAACTTTTGTGCGAGGGTAGCCGACTTAACAACAACACCTTGACGGGTCCTATCCCTTTGACATTAACTAATATCACGTCTCTTCAAGTCCTGTGAGTGCTAAACTTATGTCTTTTCTCAAGAACTATAACTCTTTTTCCTCTTCTGAGATATAATCTAGCACTACTCATACATCCACAAATTGCACTGTGAAATGCAGGGATCTTTCAAATAATCATCTCTCTGGTGAGGTTCCAGATAATGGCTCCTTTTCACTATTTACTCCCATCAGGTTGGCTTTTAGTGATCTGAATTCTGCTTTTCTAGAATTACAAGTTGGGGAACCTTAGGTGTTTGTTGTTCCATATGCAGTTTTGCTAACAACAGGGATCTGTGTGGCCCGGTTACTGGACGCCCATGCCCAGGATCGCCTCCCTTTTCTCCTCCTCCTCCTTTTGTTCCACCACCACCAATTTCTTCACCGAGTAATCTTCCTTTGATATACTTCAAATCTATTGAGCTGCCTTTCATGGTCTCTATGTGCAGTTTTTATTTATTTTTGTTGCTATTCTTGCGGTCAGACTGTTTTAGTTGTTCCGCTTGACATTATATAATCTGCCAAACTTTGCTTTCTAGCATATTATCCCCGTAATTCTTTGATGTTGTGGCATGCATGTAACGTCAATTAGCAAAATTAATCCCCCTGCTCTTTTCTTCCAGGTGAATCTCATCCCAGTTTGCACGTCCAGTCCATTAGTTCCAACTTTAAATGAATTGCATCATTATGATCGTTTATTGTGATGAGATGTAGTTAACAATAGTTCCTTTTAGTGAAGAGTTGTGTATGTAAATTTCCTGTGATTTGATGCATTCTCTTGCTTCTAGTGCAAAGGACGTGGCTCTTATGTTTTGCATCGGATGTTCTAACTTTTCATCTTATAATATTTTAGGTGGGAGTAGTGTCACTGGTGCAATAGCTGGAGGAGTTGCATCAGGTGCTGCATTACTCTTTGCCGCTCCTGCAATTGCATTTGCATGGTGGCGCCGGCGGAAGCCACAGGAATTTTTCTTTGATGTACCTGGTTAGTTCCATAAATTGAACTTTTACTGGGCTGATGGCTTCAAGTGTTGGTCGCAGTTATAGTATCACCAGTTTACATGTCTTTGCAGCGGAGGAGGACCCAGAAGTGCATCTTGGGCAGCTGAAGAGGTTTTCATTACGAGAACTACAAGTTGCCACTGACAGTTTTAGCCACAAAAATATTCTGGGTAGAGGTGGATTTGGTAAGGTTTACAAAGGACGATTAGCTGACGGTTCACTGGTGGCTGTTAAAAGATTGAAAGAAGAGCGTACACCTGGTGGCGAGTTACAGTTTCAAACAGAGGTAGAGATGATCAGCATGGCTGTGCATCGGAATCTACTCAGGCTGCATGGATTTTGTATGACACCAACTGAACGGTTACTTGTTTATCCTTACATGGCTAATGGGAGTGTTGCATCATGTCTGAGAGGTAAAGCCAACAAGTTTCAGTAGTCTAATTCCTTATTTTTTCCTTTGAGCAGGTGGAGGGTCTGAATTGTTATAACCAATTAACTTTTAATCCGTAAACATCTAGCATTGCTTTCCATCTGGACTATATTTACTTGTTTTCTTGCTTTCTTGTAGAACGTTCTCCATCACAACCACCACTTGATTGGCCAACACGGAAGAGAATAGCATTGGGATCTGCGAGAGGTCTTTCTTATTTGCATGATCACTGTGACCCAAAGATCATTCATCGTGATGTAAAAGCTGCAAATATTTTGTTGGATGAGGAGTTTGAAGCTGTTGTTGGTGATTTTGGGTTGGCTAAACTTATGGACTACAAGGATACCCATGTAACTACGGCTGTACGTGGCACAATTGGACATATTGCTCCCGAGTATCTCTCTACTGGGAAATCTTCGGAGAAAACTGATGTTTTTGGGTATGGCATAATGCTTCTGGAGCTTATCACTGGACAGCGGGCCTTTGATCTTGCTCGGCTTGCAAATGATGATGATGTCATGTTGCTTGATTGGGTATGCATATCTTTATTTTTTGCTACATTTGTCTTCATTTAACTGATCTGTTTACAATATTCTTGATTCTTATCTCCATAAATGATAATCCATCCACTTTTCAATTGCTTCCTTGATAGCTGCCTGATTATAATTATTATACATTTCTTGACCCTGGGGATATGTTAAAGCTGTCAAATTGATATTAGTTCTGATGCCATCTTGTGACAATAAAACGAACTAGGTTGTCTCCAAGAGAAATGAATCTTTCAAAAATTGAGAAAGCAATGGGATTATGTATGCATGTGTTGCAATGCACCAGCTATAGGAAGGAAGTGAAGATGCCAAGGATGGCAAGAACTAGTTGATTCTTCTTAAGGGCTCACGGTGTGTTGTTGATTCGGTTGATCCATTTTTCTTTTTCAGGTCAAAGGTCTTCTGAAGGAGAAGAAGCTGGAGTTGCTAGTCGATCCTGATCTTCAGACCAACTATATAGATACCGAGGTAGAGCAGTTAATCCAGGTTGCGTTGCTATGCACACAAGGTTCCCCAATGGACCGGCCGAAGATGTCGGAAGTAGTTAGAATGCTGGAAGGTGATGGGTTGGCTGAGAGGTGGGATGAGTGGCAAAAGGTTGAAGTTCTAAGGCAGGAGGTCGAACTCGCTCAGCATCCTAATTCTGATTGGATCGTGTACTCAACCGACAATATACATGCTGTGGAGTTATCTGGTCCAAGATGACCACGGCATGGCTACGGTAAATAGGGAAAGTTTTTACTAATTTTTTTAAGGTAACTTTTTTTTTTAAAAATTTGATGGCCGTATCTGATTTATGCATCCTGTAAGTCCAGTCCGCATTGTATTCATTACATTGTGCAATTTGTATCTTTCTCCTGCAGTTTGATTGAGCCATGATGTTTCCAAGTAGTTCCTGCTGTGGCAGTAGGTCTAACCCTTCTTTGCACTTCATCTGCTCCTAGTTTAATTCTTCGTAAAATGGGTCCTGTGTTCGGCGTCGAATTTCCTAGGGGATTTGATTTTTCCCTTTTTCTCGAATGGCAGTACATGTGTATAGCTTGCACGTTCTAAACTTTTGTATACTTATGTAATCGCAAGGGCTATCCGCAGCTTCTAATTGTCCAACACATATCCAAAAGATTCGAGCAGCAACATTGAGTGTTTCTGCTTGTTTCTCCATTGTTTTCTATCATAAGATAACACGTTCTTTCAAAGTGTTTAACCACTAATAATGGCCTCATTGAAGCTAGTTTCAGAAAGAAACTTGTATTTCCAAATCATCTCAACTTTAAGCATCTTAAAGCTAGGTAAGTACCCAGACGGCCCGCCGGGGTACTTACACCCTTGTTACTTTACAATAATATAAAGACAAAGGAAGGAATGGTTTCCCTTAATAGCTACTAGTATGGGAGTTGTCTTCAAAGGAACCATTGGATCCAAGGTTCGAGTTTTGTCTCGAGAAAAGGTTTGGATATGAGAAGATTTCATCATCCATTGAAGGCAATCTCTGTGGCTGGTGCTGAAGGTGATCCTGTTTCAACATCATGGTCACGGGAAACAGGTGAACTGAAATCTATTTTCGGTTTGTTGATTGAAGGAAGATCTGCTGCGTCTGATGCTTGGTGTATCACCTGATGTACTTGATGGGAGTCTGGACTCTGGAGAATATAAATCATCGACATGATCACTAAAAGGATTCTCGGTGACCTGTTCATCCTTTTTCTATGTAAGTTCAGCAATTCTAACTTGTGCAAGACTTGCAGCCAAACGAGTTGCAGCTGCTGCATTCTCGGCAGTTTCAGCAGCTGCTTGAACAACAGCTAAAACATCGCGTAGGTCTATGTTGGCCTCACTTTTTGGTCTCGAAATAGCCGGGGGTCGATCACTTGGTCTTGCAGAGTGCAGGAGATAATGGAGGAGAAAAGAATGGCAGAAACTGTTTATTTTCTTTGGCTCCCACTGAATCATTGGACATTTCATTTTCTCTACTCACTAAATTTTCTTGCATCAATATATTCGGCTCCAAAGGTGACGATTGTGATACGTAACCAGAAGCCCAAGGTTTTACAGATGATACACAATCAACCCCAGGCTTTGGAGCAGCTAGTGAAGGTGGGCTAATTACTGGCGCTGACACAGCAATTCCACTCGGCTGCAATGACACCTTAGGGATTTGAGGTAAATCTATTGGGTCAAAGTCCGCATCAGAATCAGGATGCTCAATTTGGGCATGATCAGCAGCAGAATTGTTTCATCGTGTTTCTCTGCAGGCAGGGGCAACTTAGACCCGCTGACAAACATAAAGGCAACTCCAATGAGATAAGAACAGAAAACAAGAGTAATCAGAGCCTAAAATTACTTGCCAATAAATCTTCATGTGGTTTGAAAAACTGTGTCTCAGTGGAAGCTGGATCCCACTCCAACTCATGCTCTTCAGCAATTTCTTTCAGAAACTTCAATTTTATTTCAGGTGAAGGAGCGCGTACAGATAACAATTCTATCAACTGCATTTAGAGTTTACGAGAAGGCTGTCAACTGAAAGATTATAAATACAAAATGACAATACACACTCTACCGTCAAATTTATACTACCTGACGATTAACACCACAGTCTGGCTGGAGCTCAGTTGCGGCCGATACAAATTCCTTCCCATACTTGGAAGTAAATAACATTTGAACATGCAACAACTCTGGTAGATCGGTACATCTTGGTGCGGCGAAGCAAATGCTGGATGTCGCTTCTTTTAAACCTAGGGGACATTCCCTGAAAACAGATGGTTACTCATTGTTTATTCTACAAAACATGGCACGTTCTTGAATCTTTGAGCAACTCCAGAAATTATTATAACTTATGAAGCTTCTATATTATTCAAGTAATATGTGATACTAACGTTCATAACTACATAAAAAATGGTGCTAATACTTCACACACCCATAGTCGGGGACTCTGGGTCAATTTGCGGGAAAATTGTGCACTTATCCATTCAACTTTTTGAAAATAAAAGGGGGGGTAAAATATACCATATACCATTGAATTTTAGGTGGTGTACTATTTATACCACTGCACTTCTGATTTATCTAATTATAGCATTGAATATTGATTTTAGTTTTAATTATGTCATTAGATTATTAAAAGTCAAACGGTGTGATGAAATAAATAAAATGCCATTGTTTTGGTGTGAATGTTGATGCTTAAATCGACGTTGTTTTAAGAACTAAACTTTAGAAGTATATGGATTTTAATACTAAACTTTTAAACAATTTATTTTTGACACTATTTTTTTACCGTAGTCGGTAACTAATCATCACTCGTCATCAGTTGTTTTTTTGTGATTTGATAAAAATAAAAACTTTCTCATTTTACTTTTTTTTTCTCCTAGAAACATTTACATGTATACCTAATGTCACAATAAAGCAACAAATATACCCTTTCCAATCACATTGCTTAGTTACTTTTAACACTTTATAACACATTTCATTTCTAATTTCAATGCCCATGCTTTTCACTCAATTATTCAACATAGCCTGTAACCCCTCGAAAACCGAGTAATAGCTTCGGAAAATAATTTTGGGCTTCGAGTACTTGGGTAAGACCAATTTAACCAATTGGGTCAAGAATAAAGAGAATTGGGCTTGTAGAAAGCCCACAAGGTGATAAAAATAGTATTTTTGAATTAGATTTGAAAGAGGAAGGACCTAGATTGCAATTAGACCCTAGTTTGAGAGATAAAACTGATTTCATTTATGTATGTTGATGTATACGGGAAGAGAAAGCTGAAAACTTTCTCCTCATTTCATCAGTTTTGTCTCGTTTTTCTCCCCTCACCATTTTCTTCTTCTTCCCCTCTTGAGCATCAAACGTGAGAAATTTGTAGTTCTCGACAACCATTCCAGATTTAAGAAGGTAAGAAAAATGATATGCACCCTTAGAGCTTCAAATTGAACCCAAATTCTTGAGGTATGACCATAGTGGCTAAAATGTGGGTTTTAGAGGGGTTTTGATTTATGTAAGTGAGAGTGTTTCTAGTTGTTTATGAGTGTTTAGAAACGTGTTTCTAATCACTTAGAGCATTAAAAATGAGTTTGTAACCTCTTTGTTTGTGTTGATTAGTGAAAGAGCTTGGTGAGTGTTCAAAAGTCAAGAACAAAGAAAAATTGGTGCTTGGGTGACCTTTGGAGTCTCATTCCATCAACTAGAGCTAATGTAACACATAACTAACTCCCCTTTTACCATATGTAAGCCATGAGTCTATGTTGCTTGGTTGTTGTGTTCTTTGGGTTCAAAATGGGTGTTAATGGTAGCATGTTTAATTGATGCTTTTGTAATGTTAAAAATGACTCATTTTGATGTTAAACAATCCCATAAGACATAACAAACATTTGGTAATCGTAAGGGGGTTTATAAGAGGCTTTAAGGAGCTATTTTTGTGCTTAATCAGAGCACTCTGGACCGTCGGTATCGGTATTGTAAGAACAATACCGATATTGTTCTTCGTATAGGGTAAACTGAGGCAATTTTTTAGGGTGAGTATCGATACTCGGGGTCCGATCTCGATACTGGGATCCCAGAATGTCGAATTCGTACAGACTTATGAGAGTATCGATACCATTAGGAGAGTATCGATACTCTACATTAGGGTATCGATACCAAAATTAAAATTGAAACATCGAAGCTCAAAGTGGTATCGATACTAAGGCCAATATCGATACCCTAAGGTCGGTATCGATACTAACATGCTTAGTATCGATACTGACGTCCTATATAGGGCAGAAATCTTAGAAAATTTTATGGGTTCTTAAATAAGACTACAAGTGGTAATAACATTCGAAACCCATATGAATAATAACGCTAAATTGCATGGTATAAAACTAGCCTTTGTTTGCTGCTCGAGAAATAACGAAGACACCCGCGTTACTTAAGCGTATGTATATACTATTCGACTATGTGAGTAGAGATATTCAAATTCTCTTCCCCAATGCGAATGCACTTTAGTATCAGTGCGAATGCACTTTTGTATCAATGTTGCGACATTTTAGTATTAGTGCTATAACACTTTCATTATATAATGGTAATTGTATTATGATTCTTATGATATTGTGACACATATCCTTATGTTATGATCTATGCTTATTGCATTATGTTGCATCATGACTTAACTTGCTAAGTACTCATAGTTAATGTATGCATATAGCATAATGTAGTCGCTTATGTGGCATTGAGCTCGTAGCTCAGCATTCGGAATTGTTTCCGTTCACAGGTTAGTAGGTGTCGGACTCGGGATCATATCGCTAGACTTCGGATTCCATATAACAACAACAAAGTATGTCTTGATCATTGTAGTGGGCATTTATTATTCGTAGACCTTTTTTGTATTTCGAGTCATAACTCTTGGATTACCGTATTTGATAAATTATTTTGGGAGCTCCCCGGTTTGTAAACCTAACTACTAATATTTTGTTTTAACTTAAATGTGATGAACTTTATTTTGGAAAATGAAATGTTTTATTTGAAAGAAAAAATGAGTTAGCCACTCTGGTGGTCCCGTGAAATGGCCAAACCCTTCGGGTTTCGTTTTATTCGAATTTAAATGTTACATTACCAATGCCTACTTTCATTTCACTTCAGTACATATCAAGTAAAACCTCATAGTAGTCATCTCTACTTCACAACTACAATGCATCATGGGTTCATACATATTAAAAATGTAACACCCTGAATCCCGAGTTAGTAGTTCGGGTCAACTCGAGACCCATAAATCTGAGTCCAAATGATTTATTAAAATTGCTTCGACCAAGTTTAGTTGAAATTGGATTTGAGTTGGGCCAAAAGATTTATAAAGTGTGATGAGTATTTTATGAAAAAGAAAGTAGAGGGACTAAAAGTATGAATTTCCCTTTTTTGTTTTGAAATCTGAACCCCATATTTTTATGCTTGTTTACGTGAACAACCCCAAATATCTCACCAAACACCATTCTTCATTCTTTTATCTTTTTCTCTTCCTCTTCCTATCCTAAGTGAAGTTTTCAAGCTTTGCAAGTTTTGTTTGGTTAATCTAAGGTGAGAATATTAATCTCCATTATTCTAGTTTCAATTTAAGTTCCATATTGCAAGTTTTTAGCCATAGAACAAAAAATGGGTTTTTGGGAGGTTTAAGAGAATCTATGGATTATAGGTTGTTTTTTTATAGATTCATGTTCTAGGAAATCTTCTCATATTTATTTCCACCACATAGTTAACTTAGAAATGTACTTTTCTTACCCTTGATTAGAGAAAGAAGTGGGAGAAAGTTCAAAAGTTAGGGGAAAAGAGAAAGTACCTCTTGAGTGAGTTGAGGACTTTGCTAGTAGCCAAGAAATTCAAGGTAAAACACTCACAACTCTTTCATACTTTAATGAGTCATTAGAAATGCAAGATAGTCTATGAGTTGACATTGAAGCATGTTGAGTTATTTTTATGGTAGATTATATGATTTAGATTTATGAAATGTTTTAAAGCCTTATTTATGACCCTCTATGCTCACACAAGACATTAAAAATAATTGAGAACCTCAAAATATCAATGTGAGTGAGTTTGAGTGTAGAATTTGAGTATAAGTAAGGTCATTTCGAGCAGGGGTATTGTAAGAACAGTAACGATGTTATTCTTCCCTCGGTGCAAAATTTCTTAAGTTATTGAAGGAGTATCAATATTCAGAGGGTAAGTATCGATACTGGGTATTTTTGAAAAACATCAAAGCTAAATTTGGTATTGATACTCATTGAAAAAATATTGGATAGGATCTCAACCCTTTTTTGTGGATGTTTATTTGGTGCACAAAAAGTTAAAAGTTGCATGTTTACTTTTGCATCATTACCATTAGGGGGCGTTTGGTTCGGGAAAAGCTCATTACCAAGTTTGGTTCACGGAAAAGATCATTACCAAGTAATAACTTATTATCAATAGTAGAGTTTTTGGGTTAAAATGGTGGGAATGTCATTACCTCTAAATTCTTAGGTAATGAACAATTCCCACCATTTAGGACATAAATACCCCTGAAATAATAAATTTTTTTCATATGGACCCTTATCAATTCTTATTCTTCGTTCTTTACTCAAAATTATAAACTTAATAATAATACTATACAAAGAGTTTAATTCAATAAAATATTAATAAATTTGAGTAGTTACAATTATTTTATTTTTTCAATATTTAATATATTAATTATTTTATAGTTTTATGAAGTGAAAATATTATTATTGTAAAAATGTAATTATTTAAAATAATATTTAATGTTGAGTTATTAAAAAATAGATCTTATACATTAAAAAAATAATATATTTGTCCACTCGAGATCACAATATTATGTTTCATATTATATTAAATTTTATATAAATAAATATGATACTTATGAAAATTATTTAAAATTATAAGTCTAATATACTAATTATATTAATTATATATTAAATTTATTTTTTCTTTAAACTTAAATACTGTAATAATTAAAATATTTTTATGAGTTTTCATTGAAATATTTATAATTTAATATTAAAGTTTTACTTGTTAAAAAATATATATATGACGAGGATAATTTGGTAAAATATGCATCCAAGTAATCTTATATTCCTTCAACCAAACCAAGTAATCTTATATTCATGTTAAGCAAACCAAATAGAGTAATACAACATTATCAGAGTAATGTTACATTTCGATAGCCTTATTCCTAAGGTTGAGTTTGATTTGCTGGAATGTTTATGAGGGAATTGGAATCTGTGAATGAATTGATATCTGTCAGGAATTGGAATCCAATTCCATATTCTGTTTGGTTTGCAGGAAATGGAATTAGAATCCAATTTCATATTCTGTTTGGTTCGCAGACATGTCAGATGAATTTGATTTCATTAATGTAAAATGACAGAATTGTCCTTCTTGTTTTTTTGCTTTATTTTAGTTTGTTTTACAACTTACATGTAGTAATATATTATAAAAAATTAAAAAATATTAAATTTTTATTTTATTGATTGATTATTCATTTAAATAAATTATAAAAATCATGCTAATAAACATCATAAGTTAAAATCATCGCAATCAAAATATGTTAATAAGTTACCAAATGATAGATCAATATTTCGATACATTCCAATCGGAGTATGTTAATTAGTTACCAAAAAATATACCAAAAACTATTTTTATTCAATATATGAATTAGAAACCCGACCCGGCACGACACAATAATAAAAAATTATTTTTATTCAATAAAAACATTGACTTAATTGAAAAAAATTATATATAGAGGGGTATTATTGTAATTATTCCTAAATATATAAGGTAAAATTATATTTTTTTTCGGGTCGATCCGATTTTTTTCACCATAAACCCGAACCCGACCCGAATATCTCACACTTAAAAAACCCGACCCAACCCGAACAAAATAAAGTTTCACCCGACCCGACCCGAAATAATAAAAAATTGTTTTTATTTAATAAAAACAGTGACTTAATTGAAAAATATATAGAGAGATGGGTATTATTGTAATTATTTCTAAATATATAAGGTAAAATTATATATATTTTCGGGTAGGGTATTTTTCACCCTAAACCCGAACTCGACCCAACCCGAATATCACACTTAAAAAAACCGACCCGACCCGACCAAAATAAAATTTCACCTAACCCGACCCGAATATATGAATTAGAAACTCGACCCGACCCGAAATAATAAAAAAATATTTTTATTCAATATATGAATAAGTTACCAAAAGATTGATGAGGGTAGTATAGTCAAATTTCAATTCCCTCCAACAAGGGAATTGAACTCATTTGATGTAAAGTTGAAGCCATGAGGGATTCCAATTCCCTTGGAAAACTTGAACCAAACATGGGAAAGTGGTGGAATTAGATTCCAATTCCCTT